GAAAATATACAATATTTTTAGTTAAAACTACCAACTAGATACTTTGCTGAAAGTTACTGGACTGTCTGGTACAACAAAATACAAACAGGAAAAAAAGAGGTTTATAACTCCACCAAGTAGATCCACATGCACCATCCGGTTAAACTTGGTCTTCACATCTCCTCACATCTGTGCGTAATAGGCTGTCTACAAACAACACTGCAGTCATCAACAACCAAACTGGGTCTGAATGATGGTGCTAAAGCACATGTTCTTTCACAAGCTGGCTATTGGACTAAATTTGTTTTCCTTTGACATCCAGAAAGTATATTTTCCAGGGGAAGGAGTATTCCTATACCTAACAACAAAAAGCAATCTCTCTAAAGAGAAAAACAAAACAAAACCAGAAATCCTCTGAGTCATCACCTACTTTAAGCATAGAAAAAATTTTCTTTAAAAGTGTTCTACTGTTAGGAGGAGGAAACAAACAAAAAACCCAATGAACTATTGGAAGCTTGGACTGAAGAAAGAACAAAATGCCTATCACAACATCTTCCTAACCACAAGAAGAATGGGATTTATTTGCACAATGACCAGGTTTAAAAGCTATATAATGTAAATTAGTATTATAATCTCCCTGATATTTCTATAATTCCTCTCTATTATTATCATTCTGTCATAATATCTGTCAGTTATTATATTACAGTTTATTCAGGTAAGTATCTGAAACTCATTAGCATGACTCTTTTATTTAACAAAAGCTACAGGAATATGCCTAGCTAAAAGAAAAAATATGTTAGGTGTGGCCACTATTACTGAGTTTTACCATTTTTACACTCTTATTTTCTTTCAACCAAAGATTTTTTTAAGATTATATAAACCTTATGCCTTAAAAAAATGATAAACAAAATGAATTTTATTTGACTATATAACCACATAGAAACAAAAATTCACTCAGATTGGGGTAAAAAAGGACATATAGGCTTATATAAAATCCCTTGTGACACATTAGAAAATAAGTACCAATACTCAGAAGCTGAGATGCAAGACAGTAGTTATGCATTGTCTCCTTCCAGATCTTTTCACCTCCTTCTTCCAAGTTTTATAAACAAGCTGAAGCCTACATTGGAAAGTATTTGAAAAATTCCCTAGCCCAGCTCCTGACACTGAGCAAGAAGCTCTCTTAGAACATCTGTGAAAAAGAGCTCTTACACTTGACTAACAACACCAGTTCTCAAATCAGGCTGTTAGTGATACTACCTTCCAAGGTAGCCTTCTTGTCTCTTTATTTTTTAAATTTTAGATTAGTCATTTATTTGACAGAGAGTGAGAGAGAGTGAGAGAGAGAGAGCACAAGCCCGGGGAACAGCAGGCAGAGGGAAAGGGAGAAGCAGTTTCCCTGAGTAGCAGGGAGACTGACCTGGGGCTCCATTCCAGGACCCCGAGATCATGATCTGAGCCAATGGCAGAGGCTTAATCCACTGAGCCACCCAAGGGCCCCAAGCCTTCTCAATGCCTTTTCTTTTCATTAAAAGATTTTATTTATTTATTTGACAGACGGAGACACAGAGAGAGAGGGAACACAAGCAGGGGGAATGGGAGAGGGAGAAACAGGCTTCCCACCCAGCAGGGAGCCCTATGTGGCTCGGGGCTCGATCCCAGGACCCTGGGATCAGGACCCAAGCCAAAGGCAGACACATAATGACTGAGCCACCCAGTTGCCCCGACCTTCTCAATTCTTAAGCAACTTGAATTTTTAGAAAATTCTTCTTCCTGTTTGACCAGCTGGAACCTGGATGGGCGTTACCACCAGGGATGTTGTAACTACTATAGTGTTTGTTTATAGGACAGATCAATCAGGCACCCAACGGATTTTGTGATTTGTTATGCAAACTGGAGCACAGCGTCAAAGGGTGTGCTAGAAATAATTATCTCGGGGCTGTCCCAGGCAATCTGGTATATGTGAGCACCCTCACTATCAGTAAGGGAGAGGGGGTCCAGGTCCAAAAGAAAATGACAGGATTTGGGAAGGTCATCGGGACCTCCACCAGCTGGGTTGAGCTCAGAGCTTGGCGTGTTCTTGTCAAAACACCAAGGTCGAGAAGACCTAGCTGCTCAAGATAGGCAAATAACACATTATGGAATGTTTGAGGATGAGAGGCATTTGCACGTCTGCATACTAAACACTGGACTCAGGCTTAGGGTAACAAAATTAATTCCAGACCACTGATGATGAGGGAAAAGACCCCTGTATAGTCAAGATAGGTTCTAGCACAAGGCAGGGCTAAGCCTGAGGATTCTGGACTATAGTGGCTACAACCTAGTAGGCCTGGAGAAGGTGCAGCTGATTGTAGCTATGTCAGGTTTTTGAGACAACAGAAGAAATTGCCCTTTTCTATATGAAAGTCCTTCAAATATTTGAAAACAGCTTTTACAACTGCCTTGGGTCATTTCTTCCACTCGCTGAACATACACGGTTTCTTCAGCTCAGGAAACGTGATGCTCCACACTGAGCAAGCTGGTGTTCCAGGTGAAGGCCCAGCACATCACAGCAGGGCAGAATTACTGGAAACACGCATGCTCCGTGGAATGGCACTTTCTATGAGTGGATAACATTAAGTTGGTGATCAAATAGCTCCGCAAGAATTTTTTCATAGAGTTCTGCTATCAAGTCAGGCCTCTCCCATTCTTTACTTGGAGATTTTAATCCTCTGATCCCAAATGAATGACTTTATGCTCATCCCATTAAATATGGAGGCACAGGGAAGGGCAATGCCTAGGTTGACGTTCTGGTTCTACAGCTTGCTCTCTGTGGCCTCCAGTCAACCACTTCCTACTGAGGAAGGAGCTGAGGATCAGATGAATAAATGTATGTGAAAGCCTTGTGTAAACTAGGACGTAAAATCACGATCTAAGTTTACAGATTTTTTTTCATTTCGTCATTCTATAAATAAATTCTATAAATTTTTATTCAGTGCCTACAACCAGACACTACCCTGAGGACATAGTTCTGGTCTATAATCGATGCCTACAGAGATGATAGTTCACTGCCTCTTGAGTTTCTCATTTATACAATTAACTATCTGTTCCAGTTTTGTGTTATCTAAAAAGGTGGTAATTTCCTTTATGCTTTTTCTAGAACTCTTTGTTAACATTTTGAAATTATATGAAGGATGATTCTTGCAGCATTCTAGTGAGACCTTTTTTCAAGTTGTTACAAGTAATTCTCACTGGATGCAATTTTCTCACAGAAATCCACACAGTTGTAGACTACCATCTAATTTAGGGTACACGCATTTTCTGCAACTTCTCCCCTGCCCCCTGAGCAGTTGCGCCTGCTGTATCATGGACACTCCTTCCCTTGGAAGCTGCAGGAAGTCGCTCTCTTCATGGCACCCGAGGCTATCACTCCTAGTGCGGCTGAGATGGCAAGCAGGCTGATAACTGCTGTTTTGGATTTCCACATATTTCACCACCATAACTAAAGAATGTAGTGAAAATGTGCCAAAGTACTATTTGCTCTTGTTCATCTGTGGGATGATTTGGCAGTTGGGGCAGCTTTTCTGTCTGACTTGATGGTACAACTGGAGAACCGAAAGGAGTGAAGGATGGCATCTACTAGGCAGGAGGACAAAGGAAGGGCTAACTTCTCTTCAGTTTCTTTCTCATCCTTCCTTTTGGCAGGCTAAACCCAAAATCTATTGCACAGAATCATTTACTATAGACAATCCTTTAAAACCAGGTTTTAAATTTCCACTTGCCAGACTATGAATATAGCTTTGCTATAGAATAGTTCTTTATGATGATAGTACTGCAGGGCTCAATGAAGGGTTAAGTGATATAAATTGTTCATTCATTCATTCTACAAATAGCAACTGAGCACAGAGGACACAGTAGTGGATGCTACAGTATTCTGGGAGGTCAGAAATGTGGTCAGAATGAAGCAATAGGATTCCTCTGTGCACAAACCAGCTTCACAACTGTCAGGGAATGTTTGAGGGACTCCAAGACAATCATGACATGTTTGGAGTTACCAAAAGGGATACCTGATCAACACTGCTTGATTTCCATCAGATGCAAAGCTCTGTGGAGGAGCACTTGAACTTGGTCACAACTGCACAGCCCTAGATAATGGACTGGCAGGCCCTGGAAGGGGACTGGAAAAAGAAACAGGGGACATCTGAAGAAAAAGCACATGAGAGATGAGTTTGGCAGAATGAGTCTGAACAGCAGGGCTTGCTATTAGGGAGATAACGATAATAGCTACTATGCCTGGTTGCTGTGCATGGCCAGGAGGAGGGCAGGATAGAGAGGAAAGAACTATGGGTCACTAGGGCCCCAACCCTCATTTATGATGAATGCATCTGGGCACAGGGAAACAATAGCATTATCCTGCTAACTGCAGAAAGCACACAGAAGCAGTAGAGACACTGGGCTAAGTCATGAAGAGGTCACTGGCAGGATAAGAGAGAGCAAAACAAGGGTGTCGAAAGAAAAAAAAAAGCATTGATCAGTAAAGCAGAAAGACTGAAGAGCCTCAGATGTCATTTCCACATGGACTCTTAGAAGGAATATCTTGGGGGTGAACTCTTCAGAACAAAAAGCTGAACATTTTGTTAAGCAAAAGGAAAGGAGTCCCTGTTCAGTAAGATCTGGGGTCCTGCAGGGGAAATCTGGGAAATATCCATTATAGATCAAAGGGTTAAAATCAGATGTCGCATCTTTATGATGGGGAAATAAGTTTCAGTCAGCACCACCCATCCATATGACCATAACATTTAAAATTACTAAGCTTATGATCACTGATAATCTTTAAAGAAGAACCACTTTTTGATTGACTTTGTGATAACTGACTGGCTTGACAAAGAGGTACAATAGGAGAAATATTAGTATGATTTCATTACTTGAATGGATACAGAAAATAGTCCCTTTTCTAATAGTTACTTGTTAGGTCATTTATTTGCTATAAATGCATAACTAATAATTGACAAAAAAAAAACAAATAAAAAAGCACCTCTTACATTGTGATGGTTGGTTGAAAAGTCTTAGAACTACTTGTTTATACAGAGATTCATCTTTAATCAGCATTTGGGCTGCTTCCAAATTCACTGGATTTTCTAGGACTGGATTAGAAAGCATAACCTATAGGAAAAAAAATAAAACTTTAAGTTTTTAAAGTAAACTCTTTTGCTAGAGTAAAAAGACAAGCCACACATACAACAGTAACCAGCATTTATTGCATGGCTACTATGTATCCATTTGGAGACAGACACAAAGACAAATGATATATAGACCCTACTCTCAAGAAACCCGGTGTATCTTGGTGTTATTCTGCACATTCATGAGCCAAACACTGGGATCAAAGCAAGTTACAAGATCCTTCCTCTACCCTATTCCTTTCTATCATGTGAACTTAAATTCAATTTATATAGAAAGGAGACTAAACATTAGGAAACGGTAAAACATTTCCATTAAAAAACAAGTTTAATTTTTAACATAAGATCATATTTAGGTCATGGATAAACAAACATATGTAATAAGGCTGTGTATACTGTGTATACTTCAACATCTCTCCAGAACATTGAATGAATTTGGTATCTACAGTTTTCTCTTGCTGCTGTGACTAACACAAATTTAGCAGCTGAAAATAATACAAATTCATTGTCTCACATTTCTGTAGGTGGCAAGTCTGGGGTGGTCAGTCTGGTTTCTCTTTTCCAGATTTAGTAAGACTAAAATCAAAGTGTCGGCCAATTGGGCTCTTATCAGCGATTCTGAAAGAGTCTGATTCCAACCTCATTCGTGTTGTCTGTAAGCTGAATTCAGTCCCTTGCATTTGTAGGACTGAAGTCCGTTTCTTTGCTGGCTGTTAGCCTGGGGCTATCCTTAGGCCCAGGAGGTCTCTTGCAAATCACACCTGGACCCTTATATTTCAGAGCAGTTAAGGTTTGAAAAATATTTCTTATGCTTGGAATCTCTCTGATGTTCCCTCCTGCTATAGCCATTCTCCTTCCACTCTTTCCACCTTCCTCTTCTATTGTTAAGGGGTCATATAATTACTTTGTACACCTGTATAGTTCAGGATAACCTTCCCATAATTCCATCTGCAAAGCCCTTTTACAGCAGTATGTAGACTAAATAACCAGAGGATGGGAGTCTTGGAGGGATATCTTTAAAATTCTGCCTGCTGTCTGGGTGATTCAGTCGGTTAAGCATCTGTCTTTGGTTTGGGTCATGACCCTGGGGTCCTGGGATTGAGTCCTGCATCAGGCTCCTCACTCAGCAGGGAATCTGCTTCTGCCCCTTCCCCTGCTCATGCTCTCTCTCTCTCAAATAAATAAAATCTTAAAATAAAATAAAATAAATTTTGCCTGCTAGAGTATATGTGCATCTGGACAAAATAGGGGACCAGTAGTAACCAAAACTTAATAGTTCTGATAAACCATAATCTTGTTTATCTAGCACTTCAAAACTATTATTTTCCCAAACTGCAAGTATTTGTTCAATAATTTCAGTATTTTGAATATTATAATACACAAACTAGATAATAAAATATACCCCAAATAATAACTACCAGAATACCCAAGTGTAGATGAGGGTCAAAGTGGCTAACTGTAACTTAAGTGTCATAGAAATGATGGCAGTCATCACTAATGAAAGCAATAATCTGATATTTGATATTTCAAAGGCAATAAGAATTTACTGCTGTTAATTGAGTTTTTCTGTTTGGAAAACACATTTGAGCTATATCTCCAAGAATATTCTAAGTTGCTTAAATAAGGATTCAGTGTGGATTGCACTATACCTCTCAAAGCGGGCAGGAAGCAGATGAAACTTATCTTCAAGAGTAAGCTTTAGTCTTTGGCTGGAGTGATAATCCTACTCAGAGAGGCACATCTGGTAAAGTTTATTCAATAGTCTTTGCATTGACACTATGTCTAAGACCTTTTCATATTATGTTTATACAAGCTACTAAGTATACTTAATGATTTTTAAGAACTTAAATATATTAAAATGAATCAGACACCCTACTAAAATGGTAAAAAGAAAAGGTACTTTTATCTTTTTAAATACTTTATTTGTCAGAGATAAAGAGAGAGTGAGAGAGTGAGCGAGCATGCACAGAAGCAGGGGGAGGGACAAAGGGAGAAGCAGGCTCTATAGTGAGTGAGCAGAGAGCCTGATGTGGGACTTGATCCTAGAACCCTGGGATCATGACCTGAACCGAAGGCAGATACTTAACTGACTGAGCCACCCAGGTGTCCCAAGGTCCAACTTTAAATTAGCCATGTGACAGTGTGGAACAACACAAGTAGCTTTCCAGAGGACAAGGACAAAAAACTGGAGCATCAGTATAAAACTGCAACAATAGGTACAATTTGTAATTTCCATTTAGTTAAAGCCCATGTATTTGGAATTCCTTTTATGGATGGTGTTGCTATTTACCTTTCCACTATATACTGAAGTACAAGTGTTCTTATAATCTTTTATAAGATTATAAAAATTTTAGGAGGAGATGATTAGTATATTTAGACTAAAATATTTTAAACACTATTTCAAATGCCACTCCCTTGAATAACAATGTGATAATTATACATATGTTTCATCTATTGTTCAAAGGGAAATATTCAGAAATTATGGTCTGCCTGTGTACTGTCCATTATAGCAGGTATCAGCCATATGTGATTATTTAAATTGAAATTAAACAAAATAAATGAAAAATCCAGTTCTCTTCAGTTACACTAGCCACATTTCAAGTGCACAGTAGCTAGTGGCTAGTGCCTATTATACTGGACATTGCAGATATTAGACATTTCTATCAGTGCAGAAAGTTCTACTGGGCAGCATGACCTTGAAAGGAGTATTAAATAATCATTAAAGTATTAACTGCAGCAATATGAAAACTACTTGAGATAAAATGATAAGTGGAAAATAAATAGGTCAAATAATTTATACATATAAACCATATTTTGGAACAATGTAAAAAATTCAGGTTCATTCTTTTATTCATGTTACTTAACATCTACTGTCAGCATTGTTCTAGGTAGGTCCTGGGGAATCAGAGATGAATTGTACCTGTTCTCTGACCTTGAGGAGCTTGTCATCTAATAGGGGAAGGCAGGTAAGAAAACAGTATGTGCATTACAGTATTACAGTCCTCTGACAGAAATTTGCCTGGAGTACCACTAAGTGGGTGGGAGACAAAAGAAATCCCTCAAACACCAAAGGCATCCATTCTACCTCTGAAAAAGGTCAGGAAAGGCATCCCAGCAGAGGACTCCTTGGCCCTGACTCTTCCAATGTATGCAGCTGCTTCCCAGACTGAGCAAGAGGGAAGGAGAAAATGGATTGCCAACCAGAAACTGGCCTGAGCACTTTTTAAGGTTCAAGACTTGCTTGGGTTTGTAACTTTAGAATTGAGAACTCTATTACAATTTTTTAAAAAGATTTTATTTATTCACTTGAGACACAGAGATAGAGAGCATGAGCAGGGGGAGAGGTAGAGGGAGGAGGAGAAGCAGACTGCTGAGCCAGGAGCCAGATGCGGGGCTTGATCCCAGGACCCTGAGATCATGACCTAGGTGACCCTCTATAAATGTTTTTTAACCTGAATTGAACCAAGCACTGTGAGTGAAGAACAGCATGAAGATATAACAGGAGTGGGGCTCCACAGTGCTGTTAGGGAGAGTCTGAAGCCCAGGTGTGAAAACAAGGAGATTCTTTGTCAGGCGATAGAACTGAGGCTAACCCTGCAGTGAATGTGCAACTTTTTCAAAACAAGATTTTAAACAAAAACATGGGAGAAAACATGAGAGGGAAATGGTAATCACAGTAGGGTTCAGGTTTTTCTTTATGACTATCAGTGATTTTCTTTTCCTTTCCATTTTTCCCCCATTTTTTGAGAGAGAGAGCATGCTCTGGATGAGTTGTATTAATGGGGTTGGGAGAGGGGCAGTGGGAGGAGAGAGAGAATTCCAAGCAGACTCCCTGCTGAGCCTCAACACATTGTTTTACTATTCCTTTTTTTTTTTTATAAGATTTATTTATTTGAGAGAGCATGTACATGCGTGCAAGGGGGTTGGGTAGGGGGAGAGGGAGAGAGGAGAGGGAATCTCAAGCAAACTCCCTGCTGAGCACAGAGCCTAATGTGGGGCTCCATCTCACCACAATGAGATCATGACCCTTATAAGCTCTAATCAAGAGTTAGATGCTTGGGGCACCTGGGTGGCTCAGTGGGTTAAGCCACTGTATTCAGCTCAGGTCATGATCTCAGGGTCCTGGGATCGAGCCCCACATCGGGCTCTCTGCTCAGCAGTGAAGCCTGCTTCCTCCTCTCTCTGCCTGCCTCTCTGCCTACTTGTGATCTCTCCCTCTCTCTCTCCCTGTCAAATAAATAAATAAAATCTTAAAAAAAAAAAAAAAGAGTTAGATGCTTAACCCACTGAGCCACCCAGGGGCCCCACAGTTTTGCTATTTTTTTTTTCTTTATTTGACAGATCACAAGTAGGCAGAGAGGCAGGCAGAGAGAGAGGGGGAAGCGGGCTCCCTGCTGAGCAGAGAGCTTGATGCAGGACTCGATTTCAGGACCCTGGGATCATGACCTAAGCTGAAGGCAGAGGCTTTAACCCACTGAGCCACCCAGGTGCCCCACAGTTTTACTGTTCTTAAGGAAGATCCCAATTCAGGTAGAATTGGGATGGGAATATGACTCAGTTTGAAGGAATCAAAAAGATCAACTTCAGATATTTGCTCAGTTCTTTACAGTTTTTGCTCAAATGTCTCTCCCCAAACATGGCCTAGCTCAGGCACATGCACAATACATATTTGTAAAGTGAATGAAAGAATAAATTTGATCATTTAATCTCTAAGAAAGATTGCTTTTCTCAGTACACTAAGATGACTAGACAGAATTTTTTTAAAAAAATAAGAAAACAGAATTGTATTATAATTCTATGTGATTGAGAGAATTCAATTAAGTCAGAATATTTCATTCTGTAAGTATTCCAAATAACAAAAATTTAAAAGTTTATCTTCAGATATTATTAATAATGAGTAGGTCCATGGAAACATCGCTGAGCCTGATTATAGGTGGTCAAAACAAGTGGCACTGAAATAATTTATTTTAGCACCAGTTGAGAAAGGAGGTTTTTTTTGAGGGTCAAAAATAACAGAACACTGAGGCATGCTTCTAAGGACCATGAATCAAGGGGGCAAAGGGCCATTCCAGAAACAGGCCTCAGTCTGCAGGGAGGAAAAAAATCTCTGCCTTAATGAGTGAATTAAAGAATAATTCACTGGATTTGATATGAAAGTTTATAAAAGAGCAAGTAGCTAGCATTGTCAGAAACAAAGAATAAAGCTGAATATTTTAAGTTGTAGTCATCTGATCCACCTTTCTGAGGAAGGCAAGATTCATGAATGAGGAAAGATCATATCCAGTATTATAAAGTTAGAAGCCAAAAGAAAAGTTGAGACTAAATTTCTATAATTGAAATCATAAAGTTCTTTTTAAAATAAAATAAATATTCCTTCACTGTAAAGGGCATTAACTACCAATTTCACTTTAAAACAATAATCTTTATAAGTTCCACTTTATAGCCTTGGCATAAAATGCTGTTGATTTAAATAAGTTTACTCAAATCCTTCAATCATTTAAATATTCATTGTACAAAACCCCTTCCTTACATTTTGAATAACTGGGATAATTGAAAGTATTAAAGAGACCATTATATTAATCTGTTCTTACCTGGAGGGTTAGTAAGATGCTGCTCAAAGTATAGCTTGTATTCCACTTATTGGGGTCGTCCAAAAAATCTATACAGGCCCGACCAGTATTTTGGTCTACTGTATTAAAGTAATACATGAATATTGACACATATAATACAATTATTATTTAAAATTTATGAACATCAAAATAGCACAGGCAAAATCAGAAAGCAAAAGACAAAGCAGAAAAACTATCTTCAATGAATGTGACTGACAGCTGATAGAGTGTAGCTGTTAAAAGCATGGACTTTGGTTCAGACACACGTAGATCTGCATGTTGACTCCCCCACCTGTCAGCTCTGCTATGTTGAACAATTTAACTTTACCTCTGTAGGTCTCATTTTCCTAAATTGTGAAATGGGGATATCATAAAAGTACCTTCCTTCACTGAAAAGAATTAAAAAATAAAGTACTAGTAGAGTACCTGACGTGTAGCAAATCCCCCCAAATGACAGATTATCATTATCAATAATAGTCTTACTAATGTATAAAAAAAGCTTTTGTAAATGACTAAGAGAAACATTTCTACTCTAATAGAAAAATCTCGCAATAAAAAGTTACAAACTGAAATTTTTAAAAGGTAAAAAGAGAGGTGTTCGATTTGACACTATACTATAAAACTACAATAATTAGAACCACAGGGTGGGACATGAGATTAATGTGATAAGAGCCTTTAGGAACAAATCCTACTATGTATTAAAATTGTTGTATATTAAAAGTGCAATTATGACTCAGCAGCAAAAGAAGATTATCAACCAATGGCATTAACAAGTGCTGTGCAAATTACTCATTATCCTTTGGTATTTAGGCTTCCTTCCTTCCATCTCTTCTGGAATAAGGAGCACTATGCCTGTCCCTGTCTCCACCATATGTGTGGTTTTAGATAAATACATGGTTGCCCATATTTTCCCCAGCAAGATGTGGCCATGTAACTAAGTTGTAATTGTGGGATATCAGCAGAAAGAAAGCATGCAACTTCTAGGTCATACTTCCTGAAGGAAGCTGTCTTGCCCTCTTTATCTTTTTTCCCTTCCCACTGTCTGGAAACGGTCCCAGAGTAAAAGTCTTACATCCAGAAATGTCACTTGCACATTGAGGATGGTGAAATCATCCTGCCAGCTTTGTTCTGTTATACACAGATTGGAAAGATATAGAGAAGCTTGGCCTATGCCCTAACAAATTAAATCACTGTTTTAAAAAAAGAATGGAGTTAAATATGAAAAATAAGACTATGGAATAACTAAAAAAAATTAAAATGATGATTTGATTTTGTTTGGGGAAAGGATCATCTAAGTTTAAAGGTAACTACAAAAATCTCAAAGGATAAGACTACATAAAATTTTTTAAATCCCAGATATAAGAAGACCAGCATAAGAAAAATTTAAAAATTAGTGACAAAGGGAAATATTTGCAATATCTAATACAATATAATAACATTGTTAAGTCTGACGGCTCACAAAATCAACAGACATGAAAAAAATGTTCAACTCACAAGTATTCAAAGAAGTGCTTATTAAAATAACAGTGACATTCTTATGAAATTGGAAAAAAAATGTCTCTGAAGTTTCAATGTCCAGATTTGGAGTGCTAAAATGAGGACTTTATACACAGTTATTGATGGAAGTGTAAATAACATCCCGAAAGGCAACTTGGCTTTACGTATCTAAAGACTTAGAACCATATAGAGCCATCCTTTGGAGTTTGGGGCTAAAAAATAACACTCCCCTCCTCCCAAGCGCATATATAATGAAACAGACTAACTGTTGAAAGATGGAAGTAAAACACCAACTCTACCATAGGTAAGACTGAAATGGAGAATGCATGTGATCAATGGCTTTACTTGAGCTCCACAAAAACGCCCTGATTTGAACTTAACACCCAAACTCAAGGCTTGCCTGTCTCCACCCTGGAGAAAGCAAGAGGGCACCCATTTTGAAGGAAAACTGGTTGAAACTGGAAAGAAAGTGTTGAGAAAGTGCTGAGCCACACGTGTTCAATTTTTATTCCCTATTTTTCCAATAGGTAAGTCACTCAAGGAGTGAGGGAGGGAAAGAAGAGCAATCACAAGTTTCCTGTACTTTTCCTCCTAGAGACAGAGGTTCTTTTTATTCCGGAAATGGAAGATGTGAGGAGTAGGGTATAAGAACACCAACCCCCCCACCCACTACATTTAACCAGTAATTCCACTTATGTTTATGTTAAACAAATAATAGCAAATGTACACAATGAATTGTGTACCATAAATTTAATTTTATCCCTTAAAATAGGTTTTAATTACAAAGTAATAATGTACTTGGAAAAAAGTACATAAAAGTATATAAAGTAAAATATGAAAGCTTCCTTGTCTACTAATACCACTCTTTAGAGTTATTACCAGTTGGTCTAAGGGCACCTGGGTGGCTCAGTCAGTTAAGCATCTGACTCTCGGTTTTGGCTCAGGTCATGATTTCAGGGTCTTGAGATCAATCCCTACATCAGGCTCTGTGCTCAGCATGGAATCTGCTTCAGAGATCTCTTTCTCCCTCTCCCCCTGCCCCTCCCCATCTGTGTGCACATGCATACATGTGTTCACTCTCTCCAAAATAAATAAATAAAATCTTTTAAAAAAATCCACCAGTTGGTCTATACAAATGTACATATACACGTGTGTGTGTGTGTGTGTGTGTGTGTGTGTGTGTGACTGTTTATGTAGTTTTTCTAATTAAATGGAATTATATCTTGGGGCACCTGGGTGGCTCAGTGGGTTAAAGCCTCTGCCTTCAGCTCAGGTCATGACCTCAGGGTCCTGGGATCGAACCCCGCATCAGGCTCTCTGCTCAGCAGGGAAGCCTGCTTCCCTTTCTCTCTCTCTGCCTGCCTCTCTGCCTACTTGTGATCTCTGTCTGTCAAACAAATAAATAAAAAATCTTTTAAAAAAAATGGAATTATATCTTATGTGTTATTCTTTGAAGGGTTTTTTTTTCACTTAATAGTAAATTACCAACATATTTCTGGACATGTTCATGAAAATGTATTTGAGTGCCAGCTATGTGCCAGGTAGTGAATATTCTAGGAATAGTAGTGACCAAAAAGTCTAGCTTTTTATTTCTTCCTTGTTATGTACACAGCAGTAAGATATTTTACTTAAAAATTCCTATATTAACAGACACTGGGATTATTCCCCTTTTCCCTATTTCCAACATCATTACTGGGAACAAACACCTTTAAATAGTATACATACTCTTCCATACCTGTGCTAGTATTTCTATGGAATAATTTATAAACATGGTACTACAGGGATTTAGGGCTATTTGCCTTCTATAGCTGATTAGAAACTATCAAACTGCTTCCCAAAAATGTCACACTGAGGTCATCATTATATCAGAAAACCACCCACCTAGTGTTTGCCCATCCCTACTAAAACTGGATAAATTTTTAACATTTTGTAAGCATAAGCAATGAATCATAAATTCTTGTTTTAATATGCATTTATTTTCTTACTAGTGAAGCTGAACAACTTTTTGTTTATTTTTGTTATGTTTCCTCTATCAAGTGTTTGTTTATAACCTTTGTCTGTTTTTCTATTGCTTTATATTTTTCTTAGTGATTTTTAAGTGTTCTTTATATGTTGTAGATATTCTGTTTTACACATTGCAATTATTATACCTTGGTTTGCAAAAGCCAACATATTTTGTCTCTGTTTACCACATTGTTGGCTGTAGAGAAGTTTTAAAAAGTTTATGTACTTTAGGGGTGCCTGGGTGGCCTTCAGCTCAGGTCATGATCTCAGGGTCCTGGGATCAAGCCCCGCACTGGGCTCTCTGCTCAGCACGGAGCCTGCTTCCCCCCCGTCTCTCTGCCTACCTCTCTGCCTACTTGTGCTCTCTATCAAATAATTACATAAAATCTTAAAAAAAAAGTTTATGTAATGTGTCATGCTTTTTTCAGTTTATAGGTTTTATCGTATTTAGAAAAGCATTCCTCACCAAGCTGATTAAAAATTCTCTTTGATTTTCTTTTTAGTATTTAAAACTTTTAGACTTTTTGATATATCAAGAATTCATTTTGTGTATTAACTTGAATAGCAATCTAACTCATTTCTTTCTAAAATGTTAATTTGTCAGTGCATTATTGTTTATGATAATAAAAAATCAGGTCCAATGAGAATATTGAATATAAGAATAGTTAAGTTTATCATTTAGTCATTAAAACTGAGCTTTTGAAGAATGTTTAATAATCCAGAAATAAACATGTCATTTTAGGGTGCCTGGGTGGCTCAGTGGGTTAAGCTTCTGCCTTCTGCTCAGGTCATGATCTCAGGGTCCTGGGATGGAGGCCTGCATCAGGCTCTCTGCTCAGCAGGGAGCCTGCTTCCTCCTTTCTTTATCTCTGCCTGCCTCTCTGCCTACTTGTGATCTCCCTCTCTCTGTCAAATAAATAAATAAAGTCTTAAAAAAAAAAGTCATTTTGTAAATTTCATATGTAATACTTCAACTATGTAGAAGAAATATATACATAGTAAAAAGCAAATAAATTTATTTATATGTTGAGAGGAATAGCTCTCTGAATTACGATTCAAAGTGATAACATTTTTCTGCCTTTTTGTATTTTCCCCAATAGGCATGCTTACTAAATATAACCATAACAAAGTTTTTAGAAATATTATCAAATACTTATAAGGAACAAGGATAATAGGGACAGAGCCCCAATGATAAAAATTTCATTTGGTGCTTACCATTTGGATGAAAAGGAATTGTTAGGAATTTCACAACAGGAGGCACACAATTGTACTGTGATGTAAAGTTTATTGTCAGTTGGAAGAATAATCCTATAATAAAGAAACAAACATTTTTGCTAAAGTGTAATGTTGTATTGATTAATTAAAATCTGATGTTTCTCTTTAGCTTAGACTCCTCAAGGTCCCTAGAGTTTTAGAAGTAAATTGGATCATACGGTACATAGAGTCCTCTAGATAGTCTAACAGTCTGCTCATAATCTTTTTTCCCCCATTTTTAAAATTTAATTTCTTTTCAGTGTAACAGAATTCATTGTTTATGCAATACGTGCCCTCCATAATACCCACCACCAGACTCCCACAACCTCCCACCCCCCGCCCCTTCAAAACCCTCAGATTGTTTTTCAGAGTCCATAGTCTCTCATAGTTCATCTCCCCCTCCAATTTCCCTCAACTCCCTTCTCCTCTCCATCTCCCACTCTCACCACTCTTGTTCAACATAGTATTAGAAGTCCTAGCAACAGCAATCAGAAAACAAAGAGAAATAAAAGGTATCCAAATTGGCAATGAAGAAGTCAAACTCTCTTCACAGATGACATGATACTTTATGGAAAACCCAAAAGACTCCACCCTCAAACTACTAGAACTCATACAGCAATTCAGCAACGTGGCAGGATACAAAGTCAATGTACAGAAATCAGTGGCTTTCTTATACACTAACAATGAAAATACAGAAAGGGAAATTAGAGAATCGATTCCATTTACTATAGCACCAAGAACCATAAGATACCTGGGAATAAACCTAACCAAAGAGGTAAAAGATCTGTACTGAAGGAACTACAGAACACTCATGAAAGAAATTGAAGAAGACACAAAAAGATGGAAGACCATTCCATGCTCTTGGATCAGAAGAATAAACATTGTTAAAATGTCTATACTGCCTAGAGCAATCTATACTTTTAATGTCATTCCGATCAAAATTCCACTGGTATTTTTCAAAGAGCTGGAGCAAATAATCCTAAAATTTGTATGGAATCAGAAGAGATACGGAATTGCTAAGAAAATATTGAAAAGGCAAAACAAAACTGGCAGCATCATGTTGCCTGATTTCAAGCTTTACTACAAAGCTGTGATCACCAAGACAGCATGGCACTGGCATAAAAACAGACACATAGACCAGTGAAACAGAGTAGAAAGCCCCGATATGGACCCTCAACTCTATGGTCAAATAATCTTCGACAAAGCAGGAAAAAATATACAGTGGAAAAAAGACAGTCTCCTCATAATCTAATTCCACTGTGTTTTCAGCCTGTTTCCCCCCAGTCCTTTCCACCTCCTAACACCTGCCCCTTTCACTGTTTGGCTCATATTTACTGAACTCACTGTTCTAGAACTGTCTTCTCGTTTATAAGCTTTTACCATGCTGTTAACTCAGACTGAATTTCCTCCCCCTCCTTCCAAACCTGACAAACTTACCCATTCCTCAGGATTCAACTCAAATGTCACTTCCTTGAGAAGACAGGCATTCCTGACCTTCCAAGGCAAAATTAACTAATCACTGTCTTCTCAGCATTTCATTCAAGATCCATTAATAGCACATATTAGATTTTATTATAATTAGCCACTTATGTTTTTCTCCCCTACTTCACTCAACAACTCTATTTTGTTAATCCATAAAGAAAGAGTGTATGGTCATTAAAGGTTATAGTGGCCCAGTCTTCTTGAGAATTTGATTTATGAAAATTTGGGGGAAAATCATGGAGGAAAAAAACGAGAGGTAACTGAGATTTTTATGCAAGTAGGAATTTTGATAGCTCTTCTCTGATTTCATAGAAAACTTATATGATATTCCCAAATGATGTGCTTTATTGTGTCTGCTTCTTAAAAGTGTAATAACATTAAAATTTGGCATAAAAAATTCAAATCTAAAATTCCCATCTACATTAACAAATGGCAAGAAATTAAGCCACATGATGAAAAAACAACATATGAATACCTTTAGAATTCTAGAGAATTTATATATTGTAATCTTATTATACATGTAAAGAAGATAAGCTAATAATGGCATAAAGACTTTAAAAAAGTAAATTGGTTTTGAAAACACAAACCATGCCAAAATGTATTCTGTAGACCTTCAATATCGGCTCCCCATTCCATTAGATCTTCACGTATAGGAAAGGCAGTAATACCCTTTAATTAAAAAAAAATTAAAGCAGAAGAAAATATTTAATATACAGCTTTGAAAATCAGATGTCAAGTTACAGTGAATTCCATAAACTCCACATTTTCTTTTCCTAATAAATGTATGTATTTGTTGATTTGGGGAGATGTCATATATTATATATTGTTTAATTACATAGAAGTTAAGGTAGATTCCAAAACACACACACAATGGTAAATTAAAATAAATCATAAGCATGGAAAACACAAGTGGGACTACAAAGTCAAGCTTGAGATGTGGCTTATATAAATCAATAGGCAATTTAAGATTCCAAATAGAAAACACAGAAATAGTTGGAAAGATACATTTCCTCAAAGCTTTAAAGAACTATATGGATGCCATATGGAAGGCATGAAGTAGAAAATTTTCATTAAGAAAAACACAACTCCAAAATTATGCTTGTATATAATAATAGAATTTTCCTATGCTTGAGGTTCTGTCCCAATGGAGGGACAAAACTGTATTTCATGGAGAAGTTTATCGTTTATGCTGAGGGATACACTTAAATAGAGTCAACAACTATTTCTAACCAACCACACAGTTATTAAGTATGTTAAATGCTCATCTGGATTAACATTGTATCTCTATTATCTACATTATTTATAGTCACGTATCACTTCCTTCATCAAATTCTCTTTCACAAGAGAACCACAGAGTTCAGGCAGAGCAGAAACAAACAACATCACATGTTAGGTTGGTATGACTGGGCTTTTTATTGGACTCAATCATTGTTTCTGACATCCAGAGAAGATGCTTCTATAGCAGGGGTGGAAACAACAACGCCATGGAAGCACACTTGAAGCAACTGTTGGTAACCCTGTGCACCCTCCCTCTAAGGCGGCTTTCTCTCTAGTCTTTCTCTGAAGGACTCCCTCCCTCTCCCTTCCGTTTTTTATCTGTAGAATAAGTGATACACCAGCCTGTGGCACCTGTGGACCTCACTGTGGTGGCATTCCGGGCAAAGCCTTCCTCTGTGTCAAAGTTAGAAGGGAAAGGCACTTCTGTATTATATATGATAGCATTTGGCTAAAAGTGCGGTAGACAGTAAGTAGTGGAACTTAAGACTTAAGAGCAAGGGGTCTGGAATCAGAAAAGCCTATGATGGGGCACCTAGGTGGCTCAGTGGGTTAAGCCATGATCTCAGGTGCTAGGATCAAGCCCCACATCGGGCTCTCTGCTCAGCAGGGGACCTGCTCCCCGCCCCCCCACCTGCCTCTCTGCCTACTTGTGATTTCTCTGTCAAATAAATAAATAAAATCTTAAAAAAAAAAAAGAAGCTTGTTATGGAAGCTTGGGGCCAAATATTTACTGAACCTTTCTGGGGCTTAAGTTTCTGGTAGGACAAACACCACACTACTTATTTAATAATGTTGTAATTAATGAGAACTACCCCGCACCTACCCATCACTGCCTGATAGTCAGGGCTTAAATACACATACATTACTCAGCACAGTATGCTCGATATTTTTAACTCTTATTACTATGAAATCATAGTAATTCTTATTTTTATAAGATGACTGTTATGGTGCAATCAATTCATTAAATAACAAAACTGCAGTGGTAAATGAGGCTTAACTAAATTATGCCTTATAGAGTAAACACGGATTGAAATGCTTTTAAAAATTCGTACCCCAACGAGACACATCCCTCCAAGTTCCCAGTACTCACCTTAAAGTTGTTCTCCTTCAGCTCCTGGAAGTCTCTTTCCAGCAGTAAGTAAGCTCTGCTGTACATGATAAGGCTGCAAAGGGTCTGGCACTTGTCCTCAAGCGTCTACTCTGGGACAGATGTCTGAGTTTATAGGTCTCTCTTCCACACCGAGTTAGGTGAGCAAACTCACCTCATCTACTTGTTTTCTAGAGCCCCAGAACGCTGTCCTCCCAAGGTAAGCGGCTCTAAGTTAGACTTACAACAGAGACTTTCTTTCCTCCTCTGACTCCTCCCAGCTGAGACTTCCAGAAGGAAAACGGGCACTTGGAGGAGCACCTGGGACAACCCGTATTGTTCGTGCGTGAAGCGGGCGCGAGAGGTCGAAGCGGAGGCAGCGGAGGGGGGTCGTTAGTCGGTGTAGTCTACGCTTCACAAGTGTGAAGGTGTTACTGGGTGCCCGCCCTGCTGGAGGTCGCAAATCGGTTGCTAAGCAACAGGACCCTGCGGGAAAGCAGCGGAGCTTGGTCGCCCTTCATCCAATCAGCGACGGGGGGCAGGCCTCTGGAAACCTTCGCAGCCAATCATCCAACCGTTTCACTTTGACAGGCCGTGGGACCCGTTGTCAAAGCACCATCCCCACCCTCTTCCCGCCAAGCCGACTCAGTCCATCAACATAGACTGTACCCAACTAGTGTAGAGGGTAGGTGAAGTCCCAGGATCTTTCGTTCAGAAGTCCTTCTCTGAAATGCGTTCCTTTTTCTTTGAATACCAGGAACGATCGGGTAATAAGTGATCATTACGTCCAAGTCTGAGCTTATTAATCATACTTACATAGCAAGCTACCATTCATAATACGTTCGCGTACATTATTATGTCATCGTACCCTACAGTTACTTTGGGAGGATGTTCCAGGAACAGAGAAGTACTTAAAATGTCTCAGGTTCCCATCTTTTGCCACAGGGTTTTTGCTCCTGCTGTTCCTTCTATCTAGACATTTACCATATCCCTTCCACCATTTCTCCACCCCTCCCACCCCCCCACTTTTCTTCACTCATCTTTCGATTTAACTTTGCCCACGATTCCTCCGGACATCTTCTAAGACAAGATTAGGTTCCTCTCTTTTGTGATCCTAAAGGACCTTCTATTTTACTTCCTCATTAGCATTTATCACGCTGGATTACAATTGCCTATTGTCTTCTTCAGCAGACGGGGTACTACTGAAAGGTATTCATTTACCAGTGCCAACTGCAGAAATGGGCAACATGGTTCAGAGTGCTTTTTGGTTGCTTATTTGTTTTACTAATTTTATAGAAACTGTCCGTTCAATTAGTTCATTCATTCCACAAATATTAACGACTTATTATAATTATGTACTGTGGAACAATTCAAATGAAGTGACTGCCTTTATGGTTCCAGTATACAGTAAAGTACTCAAAAACGAAACAAGCATACAAAACAAAAACACATGACCAGTGACACGTGGACAATAAAAGAGTAATGTAACCGAGAGTGCAGCAGGTAGTTGAAGGTTAGACGTGGTGGTCAGGGAAGACCTCTGTCAGGAGTGGAGTTTGAGGGGGTACCTCAAAGATAACATGAAAAGGAGCCAGCTTTATGAAATGGAGGGCAGATACTTCCAGGAAGATGAAAACACAATAGTTCTAGTCAGGAAAAAGCGGGGCTTAAAAAAGGAATCACAGAGGGCTTGAAAGGGTAGTGGGATGTAATTAGAGTGGGGCCCAACACGCTGGACGGGGGGAGGGGGGGGTGTTAGGTTTTATTTGAATAGCAACGGGAACCCAATGGATGGTTTTAAGTCAGAGATAGAGAGAGTTCTGCTCTGATTTACATTTACAAAATTACTCTGTCTCCCTTTGTGGAGAATGGGTTGTGGGGGAAATCATTTAGAAGGCTCCATGTTCAATTCTGTGTCTGGGTATGATAGCTTACAAATTCCCAACAATAAATTAATTTTACTAACATCTTGGCACAATAAAATGATTTTAGTCTATATTTCATAAAACTGACTATAAAAGAATTTTTCCCATGAAAACATCAACCAGGATCTAAGATTGAATTTTTTTTGGCTGCCTTTTATATCCATTAGATTTTAACGTGGATTTATGTAGGTCTATGAGCGTAAGGTGAAAGTGAAGACAGGCACTTCAGTGAGAAGGGAATGCAACCAATTTGGGGGTTTTAGCTAGATTTCTTGATGATATTAGAGTGGTCCCGCAGCTCCTTTGACTCTAATAGGGAAAAACTGTGATAGTAAATGTAGGATCTTTTGTTATTTCTTCAAAATCTTGTTCTGGGGGCGCCTGGGTGGCTCAGTCATTAAGCGTCAGGCTCTTGATTTCAGCTCAGGTTCTGATCTCAGAGTTGAAAGATCAAGCCCACATTAGGCTCCACGCTCACATGGAGTCTGCTCGAGATTTTCTCTCTTCCTCTCTCCTTCCTCCCACTCCCTCTCACACAAACAAACAAAAATTAAAGTTTTGTTCTAGGGGAAATTATGTTAAGGTCAAAGAAAAAGGTAAAATTAAAACATTCTTTGTTCTGAATTTTTAGAAATAGGTATTTATATTGTACTTTAATGCAATGAAAATCAAGTTGGTAGGCTCTCATATGACCCCTGCTGGACCTCTCCTCAGGACTTCAGCCTAGTAAATTCAATTTCCTAGTTCTTCACCAGCTGTTTCAAAGACATTTCAAATTCAGAATGTCCCAAAATAAACTCATTGCCTTTCCTCCTCTCCACTAGCCTTCTATTTCATTTTGTGCATTCAGTTCCTCAAGCTGGAAATCTGAAGGCCCCTCTGACTCCATGCTCAAGACTCAACTTCAATGACTCATGATTTTCTAGCTTCTTCACAAGCCTTATCACCAGTGCCTGAGCTCACAGCCTGTTATTTCTTCCTAGAACACAGAACATCTTTATACAACACTCCTTTACTCCAGAGTTGTGTCATGATACCTCCGTGTAATGTATGTAAACTAACATGTGATCATGTAATTCTCTGCTGAAAATAGTACAAGTGATCCCCCTCACCACCCCAGTTTACCCTACTTCCATCTATAGGATTTTAAATGTAGATTGACTTCTGGCAGTGTTGGGGGGCTAAAATCGTGAGCAACCTTATATGTGTATACATGTGTATATGTGTACATGTGTGCACATAAACTTTTTTTTTTTTTTGGTAGAACAGGATCATGGAATGCATTAAGTTTAGCCTAGCCTGTGATGTAAAAAGCTTAAGAAACCATGCATTACAGAGTTAAATCCAAGCTTCTTAACATGGTGCTACAAAACCTCCCGTGCTATTTTCCCATCAACCTTTTCTTTACTGATGCTCACTCTGCTTCACACTTGAAAAAGCAGCATCCCTGAGCTGCTTGTTTCTTTCCTGTATCTATCATCTTGCCTAGGCTCTCTACCTGGACTCTATTCCTCTTCTTCTTTATCTGGCTAACCAGCTGTCACATATGTCAAAAGACATAAATTCCTTCTCAGAGTCTTCCTGAACTACCAGGATGGGTTGTGTTCTCATTTAACCTGGGCACATCTTTGTAGATCATTGCCACATTATTTTGAAGTGATCTGCTTCTTGGGTTTTCTTCCTTACCAGAATGTAAGTTCCTAAGGGCAAGGAGCACAGACACTTGTTTTTTCATCACTGCATTCCCGGCACTAAGCACCCGGCTCAGAGGAGCATCAGTCTATGCTGATTGAATTGAACTTAGCAGATAAAACATTGGGGGTCAGGAGAGTGACCCTTCTGTGACAGAACCAGACATAAGCAGACGAAAGGGTTTGCAGAGATGTGGGGCTGTGGGTGATTTAGAGGTGGTTGTCCGCTCCATGGCTACATCGCAGGTTCAAGTTGGGAGGATAGTGACAAAGTAGACAATAGAGCAAAAGAATCACTGACAGTAGGAGCCCACAGAGCAGAGGGGCTGGAGAGCTGCAAGCAGGGCATAGATTTTAAGCACAACCCTCAGGGCACCAAGAAGGTGCAGGCACTTAGAAAGGTCGGCAACCTTTGGGCCTCGAGGGATAAAGCGGTTAGAACTCCTGGACCTGTTTTGGGAATGAAATTGCTGGGAAAGACAGCTTCCTGCTAGTCTGCCTCAGGGGGTTTAGCTCTATTGTATTTGGCGGTACTAAGTAAACGGGATCACAGTTGTACTCACTGGCGGGCCAACATCCTGTGTTTTTACAATTAGCTTAGCTCCTGTGTGGATGGGAGATGGGCTTTGGTTACAGAGGCTCCTGAGATGATAAGTGGAATTGGGGCTTTGGAGAAGGGTGGCAGTGAGATGTGTGTGCATGCATGTGCCCGCATGGAGCACGAGGGTAGCAACAGGCTAGATTTGCTTCTTGCATTAATAACAGCAGGGGCTGGAGACTAGTAGCATCATCTGTTTGGACATCTGAGTCACTTGAAATTGCAAACTTCTAAGTAGAGGCCTATCTGAAAATGTTTTTCTCCGCATGGACTCACCTTCCATCTATTATGGCACATGTTTTAATAAAATTTCCCCATACATGATAGCATGGATGGTATGTCCTTGCTGGCATCTCATTCCTGAGCCATGTCCTTCTCTGCCTTGTTCGTCAGATGCATTGTTGTGGGGGTCTGTGTTTTAGATAAACCAACACACTCAGGAAAATAAATCCCATCTGTAGTCCTTCCACTGTGTTAGTTCATTGGTTAGTCTGGGTAAAGAATGTGTGTTCTTGGACAGACCCGGTTGTGTCCCAAGATACCTATGTCTGCATAGCCAGTAGAGCCTTGAAGAAGTTACTTAGCCTCCCTGTACCTGCATTTTCTCCCCTGTAGGATGTGGCCAGTAATGACACCCGCTTCTCAGAATCATTGTGAAGGCTGACGGCAGTAATAGCTGCCAACCACTCGGTCACTGGTAGGCCGGACTGATAGTCAACACCCGTCCGTGCTTTCCACGTGCTGGGCACACCGTTCTCAGTGATCTGGGGGAATTCATTTCATAGTTAGAAACAACTCTATAAGGTAGGTACTATTATGATTCTAATTTTTGCAGAAGAGGGAGGGACACAGTCACAGAGCTGGAATGCAGCAGAGCCAGGAGGCAGCCCCCGGGTATCTAGCTCCAGATCCCCTGTTTTTAACCATTTGGCTACCCAGCCTCACAAATGTCTCATGTCCTACCAAGTGAAGTCTCTGTCCTTTTTAAAAAAATTATCACTACTCTCAATAAATTTTTCTTTTGGCATATCTGCTATTTGTGTGTGTGTGTGTCTGTGTGTGATTTTGGGTGCATCTGTTTCCAACTGTCTTCCTACTTGTTTGCTTTCTGAGTCTTCCTCTGCTAAAATGCGAGCCCAAGAAACTAGGCCACTACTGTACAATAATATAGTGCCTGACATGTAATAAAGGCCCACTATAAATCTGTTAACTGAATGTGAATTCTGACTTGTCTTTTAGAT